TATATCCTTTAATTTTTCACTATTGTCATTCACGCCAGTTTTAAAGTGATTGTCTTCTGAATGCCTTATTCAGATTTGTCAAGGAAACTGATTTTTCCAAATCACTTCATTGGTAATTTTTGCTCAAGCTCATAATATTACTGAGGTTACATATTCAATCAGCATTTTCACGAAGGAGCTCTATTATGAATCGATTTTTAGTTGGTACTCACACTGGTTCAGTTATTTGTTTTTCTTATGACTGAATTTTGGTTCAAACTGTAATGTATTTTTTCGATCAGGTGGTTAACTGCCATTGTTTAACAAAGAACACGTTTCGTTTATATTTCAGTCTTATTGCACACTTAGATAGGATCTTTAGTCATACTGTTTTTAAATAAAAGATATTTTTGTTAAGTTATGAGGTTCTGTCCTTGAAAATTCCATAAATTGACTAATTTCATTTTAATAGATAGTATGTTAGCATTTAATTGTGGGGCTTTTATTGTCCATCTGAAGAATATTTCTAATGCGATTATTATAGGATTTTATTTTTGACATCGCTCATGACAGCATTTCCTTCCTTCATTTCTCCAATGATAATTAAACAGACTGATGAGTGATAGATAGTAGAATAGTTTTGTTATAGTACTTTGATTTGACGCTAGTTAGTAACTAGTGTAATATGTCTAGTCCTCCGTTTGGGGCAGACTGAACTCTCTCAGTCAAGTTTACAATGCGGCCAACATTTTTAGTGGCTCACCATCACGGCGTACTTTGAATTGTTGATATTAAAATGGTTGAAAGAATTCGACAGGAAGCCTTGGACCTAGGTTTCGTGGTAGTTGGCACTCACCAGTCAGCAAGACTGATGTCCCTTTTCAGATTCGGACCTGCGCAAACTGGACTGATAGAATTAAGTCTGCACCAAAGAAAGGACTAGACACATCACACTAGTTAGTGTCCAATAAAAAATATCCACTACAGTCCTACAGAAGGTTATCGCCAGCCCGAATAGCTCAGTGGTAATGTCTCTGATTGCATCGATGGGTGACGTGGGTTCGGATCTCAGAATGGACATGAGTTCCTTAAAAGGTTTCAGATACGCCTTGTTGACCGGTGATTGCTAACCAGCCCGAAACCTAGATCCAAGAATTCCTGCCAATTGCTTTCAACCCCTCCTCCCATATCAACAGTTTTACTTTAGTGTTAGTTTTAGAGTCAAGCAAAAACATGGCACCAGTCAATAAAATCTACAACAGTTAGTCTAAGCCATGTAGGAAAGTGTAGACTTCCTGACTGGTTGGGGTCCTGGGGACGATAAAAACCAATGGTTGGAAACAATTGGTGATGTGGCTCAAAATCGTTCTCAATGGCTAACGTAGATGTATCCACTCCTTGTGACTTATAATATCATATAAAACTATATTGTTCTTCGTTATTACTACTCCTTTGTTTCACAGTTGTGTTTACTGTCTCTATTATGCATTTCTTCTACTTTCTTCTCTTGCTTTGAGTGCTACATGGAGTGTGGTGACTTGAACTGCCGCACATATGTGCACAGTTCTACGTCAAAAACAGTCAGACAGAGTCATGAGGCAAGAAAGGTGGTTACATACCTTTTGAACTTAATCAGGACAAACATTTTAAGTAGACACCCTCTTATCAAGCTGTTTACAGTTTATGTTTTGTGTTCTGAATTCATAGATTTTTCACTTAATTAAACATATTTGTAGGATTATTATGAAATTATTTTTACTTTAATTCACCTCAATAACCATCAAAACAAAGATTTCAGATAAAACCTTTGGTTTATGGGAACATTATTGACATCATACTCTAAGGTTTATCAAAAGTGTTTTTTTCTTCTTATCAAAATTAAAACTGTACTACTTTTCTTTTAAAAGTGAAGATTATGTGGTAAGAGCAGGCCGTGAGAAAATATGAGCAAGGCTGATTCAACAACCAATCACAGCAAAGTTAACGAAAAAAAAAATGATTCGCAGATAGAGAACTCTATTTGTCGAGGAATCCCGAAACAACCAATCAGAAGCCTGAGTTTGTCTGCCTAACTTCTGATAAACAACCAATCAGATGACTGCACCTGTCTACTTGCATAAGCTATAATAATGTATGTGAAATATGTATAAATACGTGTTGATTTTCATAATAAAAGGATCTGTTGCCTGGCCCTTGTCTTCTGTTGTTACATTTGGTGTCGCTGCCTACCGACAAATGGAAAGCCTATGCCCTGCTGTTTTTGATGGAGACATATGGATCTTCAGGCAGGACTTCAAGGCTTCTGCGCAGTTGAGTGGCGTTCAAGATCTGTCAGCGATGGAGCTGCTACTTGGGACGCTGCTGGGAGGTCCGGTGAAAGCAGCATATGAAAGTGTGAGACGAAATACTGACGAATGTTCGACAGGGTCAGGCAAACAGTTTCCAAAGTGGGAAGGACCACATATGGTCACTTCGAGATGGGATTACGCGGACACAATCGCAATGACGAACAATGAGAGGCGCGTGAACGTCAGAGAGCTCCAGAAATGGATACAGCGAGACAAGCCAACGATGACGCCTGCACCAGGTAGATCAAGCCGACTTCAGTCGCACGTATTTGACGGGGGGACGTGTGTGGTGAGAGCAGGCCGTGAGAAAATATGAGCAAGGCTGATTCAACAACCAATCACAGCAAAGTTAACGTGGCAAAATATGATTCGCAGATAGAGAACTCTATTTGTCGAGGAATCCCGAAACAACCAATCAGAAGCCTGAGTTTGTCTGCCTAACTTCTGATAAACAACCAATCAGATGACTGCACCTGTCTACTTGCATAAGCTATAATAATGTATGTGAAATATGTATAAATACGTGTTGATTTTCATAATAAAAGGATCTGTTGCCTGGCCCTTGTCTTCTGTTGTTACAATTACTCACCAGAAATCTGCTTATTTCATTGATATTTATCCTTAATTCTTACAGGACTTGTCAGTAGTCACCTTTAATTTCTAGACAGCGAAATCAAGATATGTCAGTGCATATGACGTTGCCTTCAAATTACCCACGATAACTCCTTTACTTAGTTCTACCCATAAAAAGTTAAATAAAACTAGGTGGCACTTAATCAGAGGTCTAACCAAAGAACGACTTTGTCATCAGTTTAGCAACTCTTGCAGTTAATAGCTACAGTTGTAGAAAAAGTCGATAATATAATCCTAAGTAGTGTTCATTATTATAAGAAATTTTGTGAATAACCCCAAGAATGGATATTGTTCTTTTTTCTGATGTTCTTCTATTGAATTTTATTGGCTTTATCAAAGTAACAGAAGACAACTATTTACAAAATCTTAGCTGATGTACAGTAAATTATTTATAATTCTTCATCAGATAACTCTAAGCTAACGAGTGGATGAAATAATAAAGATAAGAAACCATGTGAGCACTGTTCCATGTGATTATTGTACGGATTATAAAAACAGCATACATTTACGTAATCAGAATGCTTATCATATCTAGGGTGACTTTTTCAATCCCCGGATGTGTTTTTACCCATCATTCCTATTTATATAATTTTGATTCATTTAATAGGAAAGGCTTTTAATATGAGATGTTTCTTGCAGTTTGCCTGGATGACTCTAATACCTATCAAAACCAATCTTGTGATATGATTCTATAGCATGTAAACCTATGGTCGATGATTTTGTAATTCCGTTGGATTCTCAGTGGTTATATAGACGCACCACAGTGTTTATATCTTCTGATCTTGATATCTTAATAGGTCTGTCCAATGTATATCACATTACATTGTGAGCAGGTTATTTTGTAGAAACGTTTAGTCTGTGAATCCTTAGGAATTCAATCGTACAGTATGACAGAAAACTTCTATTTATTAAGTCAAAATTTAATAATGACTTATCAAGTGAGATTTTATTCCAGAGACTTTCAGAGAGTATACGAAGAACATTTTACGCAGCACACCTATATTTGTCATTCTCTAGCCGACGAATGATTGGCACGCAAACGAAGGATAAGCTTGATAGTTTTGCCACATCTATGTGCATTAATCAATTCAAATGCACCTCCGGTGACAGTCAGGTTGGGCGTACTACTTACTAGATAGCCTAGCCAACGTGTTACTGAACATCTTCCATCGTGGTGGCTTGGCAAAGGACAGACAAAAACAATCCGGAGCTCAATTTTGTCACATTTAATTCATAGTCGTCACATAGTGGAGGAAACGAGAGCCTTCAAACTTATTCACCGTATCCCACCGAATCTTTCCAACAGACTTCGTATTCGTCTACTGCACACACACACACAGCTGAGACAGGCGATAGGCTTTCGAACTATTAAACCCAAACTATGCATTCAAAAGAAGTTCGTACAGGCGTCATCCCACCCTTACTTGGCCTATTATGACATAACCAACTCATGACTTCTACACCACCCCTTGTTTATATTTTCAAACCCTTTCTTATCATTCCTTTAATCTTTTCACATCTCCATTATAAACGTGTTTCATTTACTTCCCTTACAATCTAACATTACTCAATCGGTTCATTTGTTTTTACTAGCCTTTATCGACTACTTCTATCTGAACATTTGTTTGTTTAATCATGCTGTTTTTCGTTATTCCTGTAATCACTGATTGCCTCACTTTTTCATCCTTATTATTGATAAGACCATTATTATTATTATTATTACTATTATTATTATTAATTGTGCTGTTCTAAATTTCACTATGGGAATATTTTGATATATAGAAAACTATTTGACCATTGTCCAATTTTTTAAAAGTCCATTAAGTCGAAACTTGGTTTGGACGTAAATAATCATAAGTGGTGTTGAGTAATGAGGTGTAATGGTTCAAAAAAAAGTAATCATATAGGCACTTAATTCATCATCAACTGTCTGACAGAGTGGTTTCAGTCTCATACTACTGTTTAAATTACTACTCACTAATAAATGCTCCATATTTCTTTTTCATGTTTCTAATATTTAACTTTTTAAACACCATTCAGCATTTGACGCAAAAAAATTGCAACAATTTCAATCTAGTGAATTTCAGTCGAAAATTCTAAATTGATTTACGTCAGAAGTAGTAAAGATTGATCGAGTTAAAACTAGTGGGAGGAATAAAAACCAACCATCTCTGTGGACAAAACTGATAATACAAAAGCGAACAATGACACTGTGGCTGATCCTTTTCAATTGATTTACTCACGCTCGTGTTAGCATGCGCTATACAACATTCATTTTTCACATTGTAATAAACGAATAGAAGGCGAAAAATAGAAAGCAATTATTACAGAACAATTAATCAAAAACAGTCAGTCCTAAACAATCATAAATTATGGCGTATAATGAAGGAAATCATGGTTACTTTGATCAACCATTGGAACCATTGAATTATGATTTGAATGAATTTGAAGCATCAAGTATGCTTGATGTTAAAGATAACCTTGAAGTAAGTTTAATTAGTTGACTAATTATTATTGATATCCTAAATGATTTGTTTATATGTATGTGTGTATGACATATAATTGTTATTTAAAAAGGAATTTTAAACTTAATATGTACTCAATATTTGCCAGTAATAAAATGTATCGAATGCTTTTCTTTCGGCGTTGGATTCACCAGTGGAATGCTTTTGCATGCTTGCGGGTGTTGTTGTCTCCACTGAGATTCCAATATAATGTTATTATTTTATAAAGTACCTTATATGCAATAAGAGCCAATAAGAATGGCTCTTCGACTCGAAATGAGTTGACATTTTGCCCATTGTCTAGAGTAAGTTTTGTTCAGTCAGATATAAAGAAGGCCAAACGTATTTATTCAGACAGAATTAGTTCTACAAGACAGAAGTTATTCATCAGAATGAGTACTGGGATGTATTGTAATTCCATATTATATTATTTTGCTTGACAAAGCACACACTGATTTAGTAGTACTAAGTTGAAGACATTTTTGGCGGAATGTATTACTCGCGAGCATATCACGGTAACGCCGCGTCGGTGGCACAGCGGTTAGGACGCTCGCCGACCATGAACATGGGCCAGGGTTCGATCCCCGGCCGACGAAATCTTTGACCTCGCTAAGCCAGAAATAATGTTGGTAAAGAGGAAAGGTTGGGTATGAGGCTAGAAACCCCATCCTGTAAACCAAAAAATACTGCTACAGAAACTTCAAGCCACTAGCTTGAAGCCCTATGTTCCACTGGGAACGTGAAGGAAAAAAGAATTTCTGCAATGGTTATCTTGTAAACGTCTTAAAATATTTATTTGATGTTGAAATAAGGGCCTGGATGTAAATCATGAAGTCGTCTAGAGTTTAAGTACATAGTTACCCTAGTGAGTAGAATAGAGAACATGTATTTCTTCAAGATTGTTTGTACACCATTCTGACGGATTTCAGGAAGCATGAAACTTAAGTTGATTAGATCTCCGTGCAACTTAACGTCTTACCTCCAACACCAGTCATATTACCTTTCAAGTGTTGGTTTGTAGGGATTTGATTGGTTTCAGGATTTTCACCATGAGCTGACATTAATTAGAGAACAATTGAAAAACCTGGGAGTCCTGGACAGCTGTTTACCTTTGTTGAACTGCCTGCTGGATGGAGTATATAATTGTTAGTTACTATGTTTATCTGTATGCTTATTTTCTGCACACTTGTTACCTTCCATCAACTGAATCTATTGCATAGTATCAAGTATTCGAGTATATTTTTGTAAAAAAAATTAAGGTTTGTGAACTACAAAACACAGAATATTGAAAAAGTGGTCTTGTTTTAATTTTCCCTTATTTTATCACTGATAAAGCCTGAAAATCATCGGGCGCTTATCAATGCAGCTATGAATGGAAATCTAGAGCTAGTCAATCACTTGTTTTCACAATACGATGATGCTTTCGACTTCCAAAACTTAGATGAGGTAAGAAATATAAACTGTTTTCTCTTTTTGCTTCCATTTGATCATAGTACTTGGTTTTCTGAGTTGTTTTCCTTTTTCTTTAATAGGGGTAATTTAAAGATTATTTCGTATAAATGTTTTCATCCCAATTTTGCTATACTAGGTAAACATTTGTAGCTGTTTTCGGCTTTTGAAGAAAACTTTGTTTACTGAACACTAGAGAATAAAGTGACGTATGTTAGAGGTATTTATCAGACATTTTCTGTCTAATAAAGAGAAGTTTCTGATTTGTACAGTTCAGTGGAATTGTAAAAAACCATGCCCATACATTACAACTCTATTAAGGGCAGGAAATTCTTGCTCTTTGTGCATCTCAGTAAAAAGGATGAGACTCAAAGCTTTAACACTGACAAAAGGTGGAATACTTTAACGGATAACTTATGGTCTCAGTGGTTAGCTGCTTTAGTTACATTTCGTTGACTGTTGTCAACTTACTTTTATTTCTGTTATTGATCTATTCTTAAATGAATATCATTTTCAAGCAAGATAAGCTAGGCATAATTCAACTGCATACAAACAATAATTAGGATTTAAGATACTGATTGATTGGAATCTCATTTTAACCCAAGATATGTCCTCTCATAAGTATTCACTATAACGAGTTAGCGAGAAACCTATTATTCCTCCAGAGATCCAAATAGATTTTTCGTTGAGGACTTATTTTTGTCAAAGCACATATATATATATATATATATATATATATATATATATTGGATGAACAGGATTTGAGACTATGTGTTTGAGCGAATTCCAGGGAAAATTCGAACGAAAACTGTGATAATTTTTCAATAGTTCTACTTCTCATCACCTGATAGAGCACTGTCACAAACTATTATTATCGTACCCTTGGATTCCGAGTGGTACACAGGATTCAGCAGCCCGCCTCCATTTTGTCCTGTTCTCTACAGTTCTCCTTAGCGTGTCCCACGATTGCCCATAGCCTTTCATCTCGTTATCAAATGATCTTCGGAAGCCTATTTCGTCATTTTCTATTCGGTTTCGGCGGTTTAATTCGATGGTCTCCTTAGGGTGCGTTCAGTCTATGTCCACTTCCTATGGCATATTTGTTGTGTAATTGGTTCATGGTTGATTCGTTTCCAGTGTTTTTATAGTTTCTTCTTGCTAGACACCTTGAAATCATTTAAGATAATAAAAGTTCAAGTAAATTCCATTTTTGCCACATTTCACTGAAACAATAGCAGTTAAACGGGTAAAACAAAACTTACGCGTTTTGACAATCAAACCTCTACCTCAAATTTATAGACTTTGAGAAGGCTTCCGACAGCGTTGACCGCGAAGTAATTTGGAAACTACTCGAGTACTATGGCGTACACCAAAAATTCATCAACCTTATTCAACAGCTGTACGACAACCGCATATGTCCAGTGATCCACAACGGAAAACTCAGCGAGGCGTTTGGAGTAAACACAGGAGTCAGACAAGGGTGCTTATTATCACCGATGATATTCCTAATTGTGGTGGACTGACTGGATTATGCGTCAGACAGTGGGTGGGAAACGAGAAGACAGGGATATCCTTGACCGACGTGAAGAACATAGAAGACCTGGATTTTGCGCGTAGATGATTTATGTTTGATGTCACTGACACGAAATCGAAGACTTACAAGCGAAAACCGACAATCTGGTAGAAGAAGCAGCAAAGACAGGTCTACAGGTGAACATAGACAAGACGGAGGTTATGAAAATAACCAACCAGCCAACAACAACAACAGCAAAATCCACCGCCAATCACCATCAACGGGAGGGATTTGAAAGAGGTTACTCCACTCATTCACTTATCTAGGGAACACAATCTCAACTACAGGAACGGAGGAACGGACGAGGATGTCAAATCGGGCGAGAATCGGGAAGGCAGGCGAGAAACACATTCATCAACCAACTGAAACCAATCTGGAAATCTTCGTCACTCAGCCAGAATCAACAACAAAATTCGGTCGGATTTTCAATACAAACAACGTCAAGTCAGTCAGCTCTTTTATATGGATCGATCAGAAACTTGGGGGGGGGCGGATGGGTCACAAAGAATATTCCCAACAGCCTGTTGCACACCTTTATCAACTAACAACTGTCTTCGCTGGATCTATACTGAAGATCAGATGGCTGGGCTGGGCCGGGTCGGAAAGAATCACCAACAAGAAACTATGGCTGGGAACAAACCAAACAAGAATCAATCACCCAGAAACAGTAAATATGCAGGAGAAAGTGGAGATGGATTGAATGGACACTCGTGGCTGAGGAGGCTGGGCCGCTGGGTGACATCGTGCGCGCGTCAGGCCATTTCTCGAGTGGAACCAGGCCGAAAGGAACATGGACGAGATCGTGTGAAGAGGAGTCGAAAGAGTATGGACTAACATGGCTAAAGATGAAAAGTACAGCAGAAAGAAGACAGAAGTGGCAAGTGGAGACGTGCAGTTGAAGCCCTATGTCCCACTAGGAACCCAAGGGAACAATAATAATACGCGTGCAGAATGTCATTTGATATTACTAACAAATGTACTAACATTTTTTATCCTTTCCGTTCTACTGTTCGATTGCGTAATAATAACAGCCTCCATCTCCGTGTTGAATAACTGAAGTATGTAAATATTTTGCACATTGACATTAGTACTGTCTTCATTTGTATGCAGTTGACAAGAACCGATGAAATTAAATGATGTTGCATAATCTTGCTGAGTTTTCTGTTGTTCTTACTTTATTCAAACATTTTACCTTGATCATCTAACATGATAATAAATCTATAGGCCGTAATTATGCAATGAATAGTCAGTGATTGTTAAATTAGTAGGTTAAGGTGAAAATAAGTAGGGCGAAGGAAAAAGAAACTATGCAGATTCATAATTGTACGACCTGATTATACTGCTGTTTCAGGACAGTTTTGTGTAACAGGCTTCTAATTATCCTTTGAAAAAAAAAGATTCTTTTTCTTTTTCAAGTGTAGGTAATTAGGAATATGATGAAGAATATTTTATCTGGATACAACTGTACTCAGAGACTTTTCAGTCATTTGCCATTCATTATCTTCCCTGATTTTTTTCTTGCAGGCATTCACTGAATTCATACTGAGTACATGTACTAATCTACTACTGAAAATAAATAGTTAAACACTGATAAGTAATTAGTGTTTTGTTTATAGATGTGTTTGAATATACCCTATGTTGAAACATACAATAGATGAACTCAGTCAAATAAAAGGTTTATATTTACACTTGTCAGGTAAAATCTGTGAAATAATTTAAACAGTAGTAAGTATTATACAGCGTCTTTGGCACAGCGGTTAGGGCGCTTACCGATCATGCACATGGTCCGGGGTTTGATCCCTAACCAACGCAATCCCTTATCTCACCAAACCAGTAATAAAGCTGGTAAAGAGGAAAGGTTGGGCATGAGGCTAGAAACCCTATTCTGTAAAAATGAACACTGCTACAGAAACTTCAAGCCACTAGCTTGAAGCTCTATGTTCCACTGGGAACGTGAAGGAATAAGAAAAAGTATTATAGACCGTATGTGTCACATGAAATAGAATTACCTAATATGGAATTACACTTTACTATACGCTTATGTTTTAAGTTTCTTCAACGTCTTCGATTAAGACCGCTGAGGCGCTCATTGTAGTTATATAAATGCTTTATTTGTACATCATTTGCAAAATGGTCGAATATCATCACATTCGATAGCTTGTTGGATTCTGCACAGTGTTTCTAGCATTCTTGGATTACCTTTTTTCAGTTTCCGAAACATATTGTTGCTTTTCTAAATTCATTTACTGATATACGACTTATATCTGATTATAAGTAGCACTCACTACAGTACAAATACTCTTAGCGCATCTCATTTACTTGTCACTGAATCTAAGAGATTGGGTAATAGTATGATATATAACTATGAATTGTCTTCAGAACACTAAGGCGAAACCTGACGCAGATCGAAAGCAGCTTAAGCTATTTACTGAGTGTTATTATTTATAGAAAATACCTTACAGGTTTTGGAAAGCAAAAGTAGCAAGACAAATAACATAACTGCTCAGTCTTTTCACTGCTTTTGCATCTCAGTAGCCCTGTTAAGTAGCCTGAGACTGAGTGACTATGCATAAGTCGCATAATAAACCCCTCTAAGCTACATATTGTAAATATGTCCAGTAACTACAAATTATGAAAGGAGAAATAAATTCAGTACATCAAGCCGAATCACCTTGTTTTCGATAGTTTTAGTCCATCCCTACTAGTCCCAATGCCTACTCATCTGTGAAACGTGAAACAATTTAGAAGCTGTCCACATGCCAAGAAGTCGTAAACGAGAATCTTTCAGTCGTTTGGTATTTCATAAATCCTTGAAGCTCAGATTAAAGCCCCTAAAAACTACTTAAAAGTTGAGCAGGTAGAGCATATATAGACTTTGTAGTTTAGTTTTTGAAATATTCATCTGAAAGTATCTGTAATATTTTCTGACAGTGAGCTGGTTTTCTTCTTTATCCCGGAGAGTACTTTATTTATGGACAACGATTGCCATAATTTTCGAGGTTCTGTTTACCCTTCCTTTTCCAGATAAACCCCTTAGGCCGAATTTGGCTAAGAAGTACATGAACACGTAGCATGATACCACGAGTATGTGTTTTGCAACATGTTTAGAATACTTCACTCTGAAGAACTAAAATAAAAGTCCCACACCCTAGGACTTAGTTATTGAACTTTTTTATAGCACATTATTTTGGCTCTAAGTATTGTTGTAAAGAAGGGGGAATTTTACATCTTATGAGAAAATGCATCGTTTACTGTAACTATAATATCAGCCATTTTATTGAGCTCACTTAGATAGTGTGACGAATTACTTAGAATTAAGCAAGATAACTTTCACAATTTTTTATGCACACATATGTTGCCTTCATTTTTATAAATCCTTTTGTTTTCTTATACCAAGGATGGAAATAGTTTAATGCATATTGGTGTCAAATCGAAGCAGTTGGCAATTGTTCGCTACCTAGTTGAACATAATGTCCCTTTGTATACTATAAACAAGGTGAGTGTATTTGTCGATAATATAAAAGCATGCTCAGTAAATTTGTCAGAATCTCGTTGCAAATTTGATTCAATCTGTTTACTCTTTACTCATTTGGCTAAACAGGATTCTGGTGGTTTAAATCAATTCGGCTGTCTAAGCTAAATCATACTGTGTACACCACTAATGAGCTGCACTTCAGGCGAGAGAAATTGCCATCTGGTATTTAGATCACTTCGATAATCTGGCTATCAAGCACTAATGGTCGATGTGGGTGGTATTCAACATTTCTTCATGATATCAAATATTCCCATAGTAAAATTTAGAACAACACATTTAAGCGAACAATATTGTTTTCAATTAGATCTCATCAAGCCTAACTCAAGTATACATAAGTTTACAAATAAAAATTCAAATATAAACCAATCATGGTGTTTTGTCTATAGGATAATAAGATGGTGAATATAAATTGTGCAATTAGTCATAATAGCAGTAGTGATGATAATAATAATAGTAGTAATGATTATAATGGTCTTATCAATAATAAGGATGAAAAAGTGAGGGAATCTGTGATTACAGGAATAATGAAAAACAGCATGATTAAACAAACAAATGTTCAGGTGGAAGTAGTCGATAAAGGCTAGTAGAAACAAATGAATCGATTGAGTAATGTTAGATTGTAAGAGAAGTAAATGAAACACGTTTTTAATGAAGATGTGAAAAGATTAAAGGGATGATAAGAAAGGGGTTGAAAATATAAACAAAGGGTGGTGTAGACGTCATTAGTTGGTTATGTCTTAATCGACCAAGGGAGGGAGGGATGATGGCTGTACGAACTTCTTTTGAATGCATAGTTTGGGTTTAATAGTTCGAATGCCTATCGCCTGTCTCAGCTGTGTGTGTGTGTGCAATAGACGAATACGAAGTCTATTGAAAAGATTTGGTGGGATACGGTGAATAAGTTTGAAGGCTCTCGTTTTCTCCACTACACGACCACTATCAATTAAATGTGACAAAATTGAGCTCCAGATTACTTTTGTCTGTCCTTTGCCAAGCCACCACGATGGAAGATGTTCAGTAACACGTTGGCTAGGCTATCTAGTAAGTAGTACGCCCAAAATAACTGTCACCGGAGGTGCAGTTGAATTGATAAATGCACATAGATGTGGCAAAACTATCAAGCTTTTCCTTCGCTTGCGTCGAAATCAGTTTTTAGTATGTTATATAATACAATTATGCAAGATTCCTTGGTTGCTATTTATCGTATCAACCAGATCTTACATTGTGACTGAATAATTCCAGCTTTTTGAATGAAAAATACAGCAAAATTTCACATCGTACTGTACATAAATTGGAAATTATGAGTCTGGTGATGAGTAAATTCAGCACATTTTTGATAAGATGAAAGACACGGCAACAAAGCCTCCTTATTTTGCTTTCCTTTTTTGTTCCATTCGCGAATTATCTGGAAGCGTTTAGTCAGATAATGAGATAGAATAGCAAAATACCGTTAGTACTGCCTAATAAATGATAAACGACGAAATTTTTATTCACAGTTCGTAATTTCTGATAAAAATAATCTAAAACATAGTTTTTATCACTACTATTTCACTACTGAAAACTTTTCATTTTAATCAGGTAACTCCAGACAAGAGTGCACAGTAAAAAAATGTTGTTCCATAAGTAAATGGGCCACTGTTTCTGACGGTGATCATTTTTATGTTTACTTAGTTATATGTACCTCGCCTAGATTACTAGCTCCCTAGTTTTCTAGCCGGTCACAAGCCCGGATAAAGAGAGAGGGTTGGGGCGTGGTGCCAGCAACTCCACCCCTAAAACTTAACCAAATTGCTACAGAAACTTCAACGCAAAAATATATTAAAAATACTAAAAATATAAACGATAACCTTATTTTTCGCTGAACTCGGAGAAGTGAAATGACGCAGACTAGTGAAAGCCTTCGGGAAGCCAGTTAGCCAATGTGCTTTCTTTCGATAAAAGCAAAAATAAGGATCGATACGTGGAATGTTCGTACAATGTACGAAACTGGAAAAGTTGCCCAGGTAGCCGCAGAAATGAGAAGATATAGAATAGAAGTTTTGGGAATCTGCGAGAGCAGATAGAACGGATGTGGAAGGGGCCAACTAACAAGTGGAGAGACGATAATCTATTCCGGTCTCCCAGAGTACAACCACGAGCACACCGAGGGAGTGGCCATCATGATGTCACCAACAGCAGCCAAAGCTCTCATGCAATGGCAACCAATCTCCTCCAGGATAATGACAACCAGGTTCAACTCAAAAGAAAGGAAGGAAGGTTACAATCATTCAATAATGCTACGCGCCTACAAACGTCTTAGAACAAGAGAAGAAGGAGGATTTTTACAGACAACTACAAACAGTAATGGACAACTTCTCAAATGGCGATATCAAAATCCTGATGGGTGATATGAATGCGAAACTGGAAGGAGACAATACAGGAAGATAGCTCACTATGGGTCGTAAGGCCCTTGGTGAAATGAACGACAATAGTGGAAGCTCTATGTTCCACTAGGAACCCAAGGGAACAATAATAATAGTTATATGTGGTAAATAGGTCATATATTGAGTAGTATGTCAGTTGTGAGGTGTAATTTTGCTCTGTAAACTCCTGCTTAACAGTTCATAATATCATCGGTTATAATAATTTACACTGCGTGTCCAAATTAATATACCAATAGTCGCAAATAGTTAATTTGGTTATCTAATCTTATCTAACATTGAATAAATACTAGAGGTTAGTTTGGATTCACCATTATTATTCTCACTGAATTTAATTTTTATCCACTGGTAGTCATTAATAATGACGTAGATGAAATCTTCAGAGATAACGAAACTGTAACAATAAGCAACAGTCTGTAGTGTGTGATATTCTCTTCTTTTTATCTAACATGTATATACATATGTATACATACGTGTATATACGTTCAAAATTTCTCTTCGAACATGTGTTGCTTTTCTATTATCATTACTTTTTTAACTGAAAGTGCTCTTTGAGTATGTATGTATGTATGATAATTTTTTTTGTTTGCCCACGCAAATTTTATTTCATTGCGTGTTGATCATGCTTACAAAACCTGTTTCTTCTCACTATACAATTACATGTGGCGTTTTTTTAAACATTTTTCACTAGAAAATAGACAACTTAATGTTACAATGTTATTAGGCTACAATTTTGTATTACATTACAGATAAGAAAAAAACTAACCAGGATTTGATACGTTTTCTGTTGACATGTATATATAGTTTTAGTTGAAAACCAATAGAAGTATATATTCAGAATTTCTCGGAAATTATCCATTTTTTTCCTTCACGTTCTCCAGTGGGATATAGGGCTTCAAGGTAGTGGCTTGAAGTTTCTGTAGCAGTGTTTTTTAGTTTACAGGATGGGGTTTCTAGCCTCATACCCAACTTTTCTTCTTTACCAGCATTATTTCTGGATTAGTGAGGTAAAGGAGTGCGTCCAGTGGCCGGGATTGAATCCCGGCCCATGTATATGGTCGGCGAGCGTACTAACAGCTATACCACCGACGTTGAATTATCCATTTAGTTGTTGTAATTTTTGACTAGGAGAATTTATGAAACATAAATTACTGTGAAGTTAATGAGCGTAAGAAGTTCATAATTCCTTTGGTTACAATGACGTTATAGTGATGAATGATGATGATGAAATGGCATGTAGATGTTCATACTACTAACAAGATTTGAACTCAGTAGCATACTATTTTACATAAACAAATCACATGCAGTCCATCAGTTATACTTATTTCTAATTTTAATAAAACAATTCCGGAGTAATAATGTGTGTTAAGAAGTGATGAAAATAACCAACCAACCAACAACAACAATAACAGCAAAATCTACCGCCAATCACCACCAACGGGAGGGATTTGAAAGAGGTTACTCCACTCATTCACTTATCTAGGGAACATTGTCTCAACTACAGGAACGGAGGAACGGACGAGGATGTCAAATCGAACGAGAATCGGGAAGGCAGGCGAGAAACACATTCATCAACCAACTGAAACCAATCTGGAAATCTTCGTCACTCAGCCAGAATCAACAACAAAATTCGGTCGGATTTTCAATACAAACAACGTCAAGTCAGTCAGCTCTTTTATATGGATCGATCAGAAACTTGGGGGGGGCGGTGGGTCACAAAGAATATTCCCAACAGCCTGTTGCACACCTTTATCAACTAACAACTGTCTTCGCTGGATCTTTACTGAAGATCAGATGGCTGGGCTGGGCTGGGCCGGAAAGAATCACCAACAAGAAACTATGGCTGAGAACAAACAAAACAAGAATCAATCGCCCAGCAACAGCAAATATGCAGGAGAAAGTGGAGGTCGATGGATTGACTGGACACTCGTGGCTGAGGAGGCCGGGCCGCTGGGTGACATCGTGCGCGCGTCAGGCCATTTCTCGAGTGGAAACAGGCCGAAAGGGAAGCGGCGGCGAGTGGGACGTCAGTGCAAGGGTGACCTGGAGGAGATCGTGTGAAGAGGAGTAAAAACAGTTTGGACTAACATGGATGCAGGTGAAAAGTACAGCAGAAGGAAGACAGAAGGAAGTGGAGACGTGGAGTTGAAGCCCTATGTCCCACTAGGAACCCAAGGGAGCAATAATAATATAATAAGAACAATTTAGACATTTAATGTGTAATTATCTTTTAAGAGTGCTTTCATTCGTTATACGGGGCGAAAGTATTCGAATAGAAAAATTTCACAGACACCACCTGATACTCTGTATGCATGAGATTATGTCCAAATAAAAATGATTGATTCTTAGTTTCTGAATTTTCTCTGTTTCGGGGCTAAGTGGTATGGAATGTGCGAAATTATTCACACCATGAAACCTTCATTTATAATTTTCTAGTGTAACATTAAGTTAATATTATGCGTAAGACTTGGGCACTGTGGTTGTAAGTAATTCTATAATAGTTTGTTCATTAGATGTATCACACAGTGAGTGAACCAGTAT